GGGGGGGGGGGGGTTAACCCTCCCAATAGCGAGCTTAAGCATGTGGGACGGCAACACGATGACGACGGCCAAAACAAATTCCTTCAAATAAATGATAGTAAAGAAAGCTTGTCGTATATTATAATTCGTATGAATTTAATACAGTATAAGAAGTTGAAAACATTGGCTTTATGTTTGGGAAGAGTTCTACTGAACCGAATTTAAGTTGCACTTGTCACGTCTTGAAATGCAGGCGTTGTACAAAAGACGTAAAAATCTGTGATTTGCCGTTGTAAACAGAACGACGACCTCGTCTGAAACTCCCCTGGGACTTTAATTATTTATTTCTTTTCATTGACTCATTGTATTGGTTGCCGTCGTCGTCGTGTTGCCGTCCTACATGCTTAAGCTCCCTAATACCCCCTCGCTACGGCCCTGAGTTTTTCACTTAAATCACTTATCATAATTAATTCACTGTCAAAGAATTAGTCACTTGCCAAAAACATTTACCAAAGTGGCTCTGAAGGTTCTCTGGATCACTGTCAAATTCGGATTCCCCAATGGCAATGCTTAAGTCACTGGCAGAGTCAATCAGAGTTATCTTCCAGGAAGATTCAGAGCCGCTGACCATTTGCTACGAAATTCAAGATGGCGACGAGAAAACAAATTAAGAATGTTTATATTATCGCTTTTTCGACAGCAACTTAAGAAAGCAAGCTATGTTTGGTACTATATATTATTGATCTTATTGATCTTCCAAAATAAGTGATTGCTTGAATTCCAATTGGAACATAACAAGCATCGTGTTGGTTCGCTTGTACCTTTGTATATATTTTTTCCTGTGACCAAACGAAAAGTAGCCGGCGGTAAAAGTTCAAGTAGCCGGCGGAACTCCGCCGGCCGATTCTGAAACCCCTGAATTAATGGTTAATGGCAGGCTTTATAAATATCTGATTCATATCCAACCATGTTTAACTAGCCTCTCACTGATTGGGAAAGCTTGTATTCAAACCGTAGGATGCTTGTTTAATCAGGTTATCTGTCCATGTGTCTTGTTAACCCTTTAAGTGGCATATTTGTGCCTTGGTGAGCCTAATGTGCCATATGCTGTTTTACTCTGTTTAATGCCAGACAATTGTACTTGTTGAGGGAAAAGGACAACACATTGAAGTCTAAAAGCAAACAATAATAGTTATTTTCAATGATATATTTAGGGAACTTGCATTCCAAATTGGCGATCAATTCAAAGCTTTGGGTAAACCAATCAACTTACAAACCGCGGTAATAACGGGCGGCATGGACATGATGACGCAGAGCCTCGCGCTCGCTAAGTAACCACATGTTGTCATAGCAACGCCAGGCAGATGTGCTGACCACTTGACGAGTACAGACACTTTCAACTTGCGTAGAATCAAGTATTTAGTGTTAGACGATCGTCTGCTCGAAGACACATTTGCAGCTGATTTGGAAGTGATATTCTCCCATGTGGCAGAAAAACGTCAAACTTTACTCTTCAGCGCAACTCTGAATGATACGATCGAGGAGCTTCGTCAAATCACGGCAACAGATCCATTTTGTTACAGTGTGCAGGATAAGTTTATTGTATAACTACTACAAAATACCATTATTGGTAGAGGATCGAAATTTGTAAAAATTCCTCTAAAATGCCCAACTAAATATGGGAAAAGCAATTTTTTAAAGGCTGCCGCTCTTTGGTTGAAAATTATTTAGTTGTGTGAAGAAATTGTGTTATTTCTTATTTTTTACTAGTTTTAATTTGAAGCAAAAAATCCCGGAAATTTTCAGTAACAAAAGGTGGTCCATATGGTGGCAACCTAAATTCACCCCCCACCAAAAAAAAACAAACAAAAACCTCCCCTAATCACACACCCCTGCATTATTTTGCAAAGTGTCTATTACTTATACAACCCCATGCTCACAAAATGTTATCTGCTCTGTAGGATTGCAACAGTTGCCGAGCTAGACCAACGATACCTCCTTATACCAGACCAGGTCAAAGATTGCTACATGGTGTACATTTTGCGCGAACATGCCGAGAACAAATCTGTCATAGTCTTCACCAAGACTTGTCACAGTTGTCAAGTATTGGCCGTCATGTTTCGCAAAGTTGAACTCCCATGTGTCACCTTACATTCCCTAATGTCCCAGTCTGATTCTGAACGCCTGGCATCCCTTGCGAAATTCAAAACCGGAATTGTGAATATTCTAGTTGCGACAGATGTTGCGAGCAGGGGCCTGGATATACCGGAAGTCGAGTTAGTATTGAATACTAATGTGCCACGATCCCCGGATGATTACATACACAGGGTCGGCAGGACAGCCCGTGGGGGCCTGGCACTAACGTTGCTAACCCAATACGATATCAAAGCGTTGCAAAGTATCGAGGAAAGGATCGGGGTAAAGTTAGCTTCGTTTGAAACCACAGAAAAAGAAGTTCTGAGATATTTGAAAGGTGTTTCAGTTGCGAAACGTGAAGCGGAACTACGGGTCAGAGATAGCGGATTGTTTGATAAGAGAAATATTCATAAACAAAAACGGGCTATCTTGGAAGGCAAAATGGTCGGCATAAAAGGAAAAAAGTTTAAAACATGATCACATAAAGCTTGATTGGCCTTGATTTTCATCAGACATTTATATCATCAGACAATTGAATGTTGCAGAACTGAACCGTGATATCAGGAGCATGGGATCACTGGAATGCACATATTAACCACTGTTTCACAAATACCAACTGCATTCGACTGAAGGAAAATTATAATCAGATATCTGCATTTTGCAAAAAAATATCATCAAACAAATGCATATTGCAGGAGCTGAACCGTGATTTCAGGAGTGGAATGCACATATCTTACACTGTTCGGCTAAAACAAATCGCATTTAACTGAAGAAAGATTATATCAGACAACTACATTTGTCAGGAATAGACCTCACCGATTATTTCTTTTTCCAATGGCCTCGTTTGCATGTCAAATACTTACTCATGTTTTGTGCTTAGCAGGGTTGAAATTTACTTTGTTATTGAGTCTAAGAACAGCAAGAAACAAATTCGTTCAGGAAAACATGGGAATATAATCTTTATCTGCCCCTGACATGCTAAAATAAGTTAACATGGAAACGAGGCCATTGGGCAAAAGAAAATAATCGGTAAGGTCTATTGAACCGTAATCTCAGGCAGGGGTGTAAAGCATGTATATATTAATTAGAGCCTGGTTCACACTATCAATTTTGTCGGTGATTTTGTGTTTCTGACGGATGCAAATGAGTGAACTCGCGCACAAAAGTATAGAGTTGCTTTTCAGAAGTAAACAATTCGAAGTCTTTTGCATGTCATTCATTCAATCACATTTGCCAGGAGGAGAAAACATATGTATATTAAACACTGTCTATTATAACAAGTCATTAATTTTATGGTGTATCTTAAGGTGGCTCCCTACAGTTATTCTTGTTTAAGCAATAATTCCGTAAAACAGGCTTATTCGTGCAGAACGCGAATTCTTTTCGACTTGGTGGCAATATTGGTCACCTAAGGAACATTTTGAACTAGATTTCGACAACGTCAATGTTCCCATGGCAACATGACGACAGCATAAAACCTTCCAATTTAACCCATAAATGTGCCGCTATCTCAAAAACGATGTCGGTGACCTATCTTTTTTATTTCATATATCAATAAGGAATGATGCTCTGCAA